TTTTTACAAGCACATAGATGTTTAACAACCCATTAAAATACACCAAAATATAGGAAATTACATCTATTCAAAATTTTCTGAGGGAGGACCCCCAGACGGGGGCGGGTGTTGGGGGTCCACCAGTCCACCTGCTATTTGCGTTCCGGCATCGATCTGTTAACAAATTAATCTCTGTTACTTCGTTTGACTATTGCTGTGATGATTCTGTTCAGTTTTATATAAAGAGTTTTCTGTAATAATAGTGATGGTACATTTATTATGCTCATTATGTGGATACGTAAAGTTTTAAAGTGGTTTTTGATGCTGTTAATTTTCTCAAAACTGTAATTTTTGAAGTTGAAATTAAAATTTTTGTTAATTAAGTGTGTCTTGAATGAAAAATACCCCATGTTTAAAAGTATAAAAATTGTGTTAACACTGTTAAAGAACAGGTCTTAAGTATTTATGTTACATAAATATTTCCATTGCATTAAAAAGACAAATTGAAGAAAATTATTCAATAAACACGAGGGTTATGAGGGGGTCCCTCCCTGAACACAAAAGGTTTGAGAACCCCTGGTATAAACAAAACAGCTTTTACACCCCCTGCTTGCCGGGGCTGTCTCTAACTCTAGAGTTGGTTGAATAAAGTTTTCTTGAGTCTGCAGGTGAGCTCGTTTGCAGCCTCCCTGCTGTTCGTCCTGCCAGGCTGCCCGTGTTCACCCTGCCTCTGGCTTCTGTCTGCCAGCTGATGGAGTCGGACCATGGATGACGAGCTTGACCCAGCCGATGAAAACGTGAACTCCGTCTTGGCTCAGGAGTCCTCCGAGCTGTTTGAAATCCTCTGCAGTCAGTCACAGACCACCTTAATGTCTCTGTGGGAGACGACGCCCCCCGACGCCGGCCGGCTCGGTTCTGCAGCAGCATCGGCGCTGGTACCAGAGCACATCTCAGCCATGCTGGAGCACTTCAGACGCAGCAGAGCTGCGGAGTGCTGCAGCTTCCTGCAGAGAGTCTGTCTGCTGTGTGACAACGTGCCCATGCACCTGGAGTCCAAACTCATGTCTGTGGCTGGAAACCCTTTCAGTGAGTACGAAACACCAAAACAGAATATTTAAATAAAATCCCTTCAATTTGTTTCTGAAAACATTTACGCCACTCTTCAACAAGCCGGAGTGCTTTTTATACTGAATGAAATCAGCATTTTGTGTTTTCTGCTATCAGTTTAAAACACACAGTTTCCTGTTGGGATCAATAAAGTTTTATTCAAACCTCAGGTTTTAGCAGAGAAGAGACAGAAGAGAGAGAATAAAAGAATAACCCCCCCTCAGAGGTTGGATGGTTGTAGTTTAGATCTCTTTGTTGAACACGGACGTGTTTTCATATCAGGTTTTTTTTTTTCCGATGCTGTCGGGGCGTGGCCAGATGTTCCCTTTCAGTTCAGCTGGATCAGAACAACAGAATCAACCTTATCAGGTTTGATTCTGATCATAAAAGCTTTATATTTCTATCAAAGTTCAGGCTCAATAATCCAGGTAAAAAAAATCCAATAAAGTTCAGTCAGGTCATCTGGATGGTTCCTTTTTTTGTTGAGACATTTCGTCCTTCATCTAAAGAACTTCATCTGTCCAAGGAGCCACAACAAACTCAGTCCCACAAGCAGCACACTCCCATAGTGGGCCAACCAGTTTACTGGTGATAAGATGGTTTCTGGGACCTCTGAGCCAACCACGTTGCTATGGCTGCCTCAGAGCGGGCACGGAAGAGGGCAGGCCCCAGAAACCATCTTATCACCAGCAAACTGCTTGGCCCACTATGTGAGTGTTCTGCTTGTGGAACTGAGTTTGTTGTGGCTCCTCGGACTGATGAAGTACTTTGGATGAAGGACGAACCGTCTCAACAACAACAACAAAAAACTGTCCAAATGACCTGACTGAACTTTGTTTTTTTTTTTTTTCTTTTTTTGCCCCCCCCCCCCCCCCCCCCCCGCGCGCAAAACATATATATGCAACTTTCTTCAAACTGATCACCCCCTTCATTTGATGAAACTATTCTGTCTAGTTTTAATATTGATTAAAAGTATAGTTTCCTCAAATTACTGGGGTGGCTATAAGTGCAATCTTTGGAGGGTGAGGCCACCATTGGCCACCCCCTGGCTCTGCCTCTGCACCTGGTAGTGAATAAAATGGCTCCCTCCACTCCTCAGCATCCGCCACGCTGCGACCTCCTTCTCCTTCTCCACAGTGTAACTCCTCCACATTTGAATATCTTGCGCAAAAAAACATTTAGGTTTACTTCGTTCTGTGTTTAGTTCTGGTCCAAAAAAACCATTCACTATTCAAAAACCCTCAGCGACGGGGGACATGCTTCTTGTTTATAAACTAAACCCTCGAGTTTCTGATAGAATCAAACGTGATTCTTTTGTTTACGTGCCGAACCAACGAGCCTCATCAGGTTGGATTTGTTGCCGAGACGAGTTTATTCTTCAGCTTTTAATGCCACTTGATGACAAAGAGGCAGATCCTGCTGAAAACGAAAGCAACCGTTTATCCTGAACTGATCTGGGTTCAGTCAGGGTGACTGACGACTCTTTCTGTTTTGTTTTCTGACTGGAAATCCCCAACGTTTCCTTTGATTCATTCTTTTATCTTTGATTCATTCTTTTATCTTTGATTCATTCTTTTATACCTCAAGGTAAATTCAGATTGGGGAGAAGAATGAGACTTCTGAGTGTTTAAATAAGAGTTTTTCACGTCTTCTGCCCCACAGGTGTGCGTCAGAACCCGACTCTCAGTGAAACGGGTCAGAGATCACCAGCGGAGGAGCAGCTCGTCAAACGCCCACGGATCGGTACGATGTGCGCACGTCTCAACTCTGCAAAATCCACGTGCACAACCTGAGAATTAACTTATTTATCAATATATCTGAAAGCAAAAGATGCAGAAAAACACACAAACGTTGAAGTGAAGCAGCTTTAAATAAATCCAGATGTGAACGTTTCATAATTATCAGTATTTCTAACATTAATAATAATTTTAGACCATTTATTTAAGCCCGTTACAGAGATTTAATCACTTTATGTGTAGACATTAAACTACTGCATGTGGATTACCGGTATATGAGCAGTTTTAGGAAATGTTTCTTCATTCCAACTTTTAGAAATGAGTTGCAGTTTACAGAAAAACAGGAAATGTTTTAAATATAACAGTTAATCAAGCAGCTCATTTATAAATAATATATTATTTCGCATTTTTGTTATTATTGTCAACTCAGTTCTGAACATTAATGATTCAAACCAGCTGAAAACTGTCTTTATAAAAAACAAAGAAAGGTAAAATACTCTGATACATGCACAGATAATGAGCTATAATCTGGCGTGGTTGTAGCTGAGAGTCATTAATAACTCATCGTCTGAGTTCTAACAGATTAATTATGATTTTTTTTTTACAAACGCAACATTAGAGGATCTTTGTTCTAAACGCTAACATAAAATACATACTTTTATTTTGTTAAGTTTTCATTCTTTCTCTCAGATCATTTAAAAAAGTGTAGAAAAACCAGTGGGGGCACTGAGACCCTTCTAGCTTGCCGTACTTTAATGATTATTCGCAGGTATTCAGACTTCTTATAAAGTTCTGGTTTTGTCCAAAGATCACTGGGAGCAGCATGTTAAAGCAGCAGCAGGTTTCCTGCAGAGGAGGTGGGAGCGACTGTCCGCAGGTCGGCTGAGGGACCTGCAGCCCGAGAAAGTCTGGGTCAGCCTTAGAACCACCAGCAGAACCAGGGAACGAGCCGATCAGACCCCAGGATCTGCAGAGCGAGGGAGCAGGACACCAGGTCAGGAGGCCTTTCCTCTCCTTCCTCTTTTCTAACCACAGAAACACTGAACACAACATTTATTTAAAACTGATGAAACAAAGCACAGTTAGAGAAATGCAGTGAGAATGATTTCTGCTGAGAGCAGCTGAAAAGTTTCATCGCTGAACTGGTGACGCAAGTTGACATTTTCTGAAAGCAGGAAAATAAAACAGAAATGTGTAAAAGAGAAAAGCTGAATAGATAAAAAAAAAAAAACGAAATTAGCAAAAAAGAAAGTGAAATGAGCAGAAAAAAATGAAATTAGAAAAAAAGGCGCTGAAATTAGCAGACCATAAAAATTTGAACTTATTAGAAAGCATAAAAGGTGGAAATCAGCTAAATAAATTGCACATAAATGGCTAAAATTAGCATAAAGGACCTAAAACGTAGCTGAATAAAACGTAATTTACCAGAAAGGAGCAGAAAATAGATGAAAAAAGCTGAAATGAGCAGAAAAAAGTTGTAACAGCTGAAAGTGTTCGAGGGACATGAAGAGAGCTCCAGTCATTAGTTAAAATGTACGGTACTTGTATAATAAGGCTTTTAATAGTTTTGAGACATGAAGAGTTAAAACAACAAAAACTCTGGAACGAGTCATCTGATGACAAACGGATTTATAAACTTTCACACAGTTAATAAAAAGTGATGCAAATGAAAAGAAGATAAAAATGCATGAAGAAAAACTGATGTAGCTTTAAAACTCGGTCCTAACGGATGTTTTTGTTCCTTTTGTCACTCGGATCAGAGCCTGACGTGGATTATGGGAGTCTGGAGTCCAGACTGACTCTGGAGACGTTCCTGCAGGGATGCGCAGGAAAAGTCACGGTTCTGTGCGGCCCGGCCGGATCAGGAAAAACTCTGCTGACGTCGTGTCTCGGCCATCAATGTGCGAGCGGGTTGGTAAGGTATCGCTTTTCTGTTCAGTCACTTTGAAAAACAGTTTGCGTCTAGAGGAAGGTTCTTGTTGAGCTGCTGATCCGTTCAGCTTTAAAAGAAAATAAAAAGAATTTAATTTAAAAAATGTCTGATTAATGGGCCGAGTCAGTAAAATATGCAGGTGATGGATCTGGACTCGAACAAGAACTAGAGAATTTGCGTTTCCTGTTGAAATGCAGCGTGAATGCTAATTGCTGAGTGGTTTTGCTGAAAATGAGTAAATTCTGGTATGAGTGATCCGTGCAAGATTCTGCAAAATCGTGTTTGCCCTCGGAGTTTGTGTTAGGAATGACTTTCAGCTACTACCACACTGAATTGTAGCTCGATGTCTGTAAAAGACCAAAGAAAAGGCGTTTTCAGCTGAATGAAACAAATCGAACCCGGTGAAGCTAAAAGAAGCAGGACGTTAGCTCAAAGCCAAAATAAGCAACGAGCTAGCTAAAACTTGAAGAAGCTAATAGTTACAAAACATTAGCTAAAAGCTAAAAGTACCAAAATACTGCCTGAAAGCTCAATTAAGCAAAGTAGCAGAGCAAATGAATTATGACTGAATTATAGCCACAGAATGACAGACAACCATGAGCGTAGAGCGTCACAACGAGTATTTTAACATCTAAAACACTCCAATAATTTATCTCTTTAACACCTTTCACCTGTTTGTATCCAGGGCCCCATCCCGTCATCGTACCTGTTTGTCCTGCTGGAGTTTCGTCAGCTCAACCTGCTGTCCTCCCCCCTGTCCCTGTCCGAGCTGCTCTTCCAGCACTACCTCCCCCCTCAGAACGGGGACAGTCAGGCAAAGGTAGCACAAGAAAAAAACAGAGAATAGAACCGATTTCCTGAACAAACTGATTCTCTTCCATCTTCTCTGCGTTTTGAGCAGAAAGCCGTCATGGACTACCTCCTGTCCAACCCGGAGCAGAGCTGCTGGGTGCTGGACGGCTACGATGAGTTTCACAGGAAGCTCAGCAGGCGAGACGAGCCGCTGGACCCAGAAACGCCTGTCCCCGCTGCAGACCTGGTCTCAGGGTTGGTGAGCCGTCAGCTCCTTCCAGGAAGCACCGTGCTGCTCACCTGTCGGGTCCGGGACGTCTCCGATTTGGACGGCTTGGCGGACAAAGTAGGACAGCTGCTGCCCTGGGACCATCAAGAGATCAGGGAATATGTGGACAGCTTCTTTGGTGTAAAAGGTACAAATAGATTTTTCAACGTCCAACAGCTTAAGTTTACATTTTGTTGAATATTTATGTAGAAGTGGACGTTTTTAGGGAAGAACATCTACATTAGCTTTAGACCGAACCCCTGACCCTGTTTGTGTCTTATCGGACCAGATGGAAGTCCTGGATCAGAGGCAGCAGATCTCCTGTTCTCCAGTCGACACCTCCTCGCCATGTCGTCCCTCCCTGCCCTCTGCAACATCTGCTGCGTCTTCCTGCAGCATTTACTGCAAGAAAAACGACGTAAAGCAAGTACAAACCCTCTGGAGACACGAGATAAAGGAGCACAAAATCCTGATGTAAGACAGGAAGAGGACGGACATGGAGACAGTTCGAGAGGACAGAGAACCGATCCAAACAGAGCAGAGACTTCGTCCTCATCAGCTGAAGTTCCCCCCACTCGTACCCAGCTCTACCTCGCTGTTGTCTCTGCGTTTCTCAGCCGACGGCCTCACGAAGGAGGAGGGGAGGACCCGACAAACACCTCAACGTTTCCTCACAGGTAAAACTTCACCGAAACACCTTTCAGTACTTTAAAAGCTCTCGTGAAGTTTATTTATGTTTTTGAGTTCGGTTTTAGCTTTTACATTTTTATTTTTGGTTACATTTTAACTATTTTTTCTAGTTAGGTTTTGCTTTTTTTTTTTTTTTCTCGAGTCACGTTTTAAATTTTTTTGTGTTACGTTTTTGGGGGTTTTGAGTTACGTATTAGCATTTTTTTTTTTTTTTCGAGTTATGTTTTGTTTTTTTCACGTGAAGATCTTTTGTTTTTTTGTTATGGTTATGCTTATTTTGCTTTTTTTTTTTTTACGAGAAATATTTTAGAATTTTTTTCAAGTTATGCGTTTGCTTTTTTCACAGTAAGATTTTTAAAATTTTTGCTTTTCTTTAAGTTTTTTTTTTTTCGAGTTACGTTTCAGATTTTTTTCGAGTTACATTTTTGATCTTTTTTTAGTAATGTTTTACTGCTTTAACGTACGTTTTTGCATAAAAAAACGTTATATCGAGTTATTTTCTTGCTTTTTCCGAGTTGCGTTTCATTTTTTTTTTTGTTACGTTTTAGATTTTTTTTTGTTATGTTTTTTTTTTTGCACATAAATTGGTTTCCTGTTAAACTGAAAATTGAACTGGAATAATGGATGTTTTGTGTCTCCGTGTGCAGTGTGCAGCTCTGTGGGTTGAGTCGCCTGGCCTGGCAGGGTTTAGAGAAAAGCAGCATCCTGTTTTTGAAGAACGAAGTTCCACCGAAGGTTTTGGAGCTCTCAGTCAGAACCGGACTCTTCTCACAGGTCAGATAAGATCCTCTCTGTCTGCGGCTGAACGAGCAGAACATCCACTAAAACCAGGACTGATCTTATGTTTGAACTTTGTCAGTGCAGTTTTATAATATTCAGATTCTTCTTGTCTTGTTTTGGATTTGTAAACTTCAAAATTTTTTTGACTGTTTTTGCAAGTTTGCTCATTTTGCAAACTCAGTACTACAGTTTTGCATAAATATAATGAAGAGAAAATACATTAGTATTGTGTGGACACTGGCACTTTTGCCAAAAGTCCTTGCAGTGAGATGGAAAAGAGCTTTTATTTGTGTAAACTGGTGAGAAATTATGTGTAGTAGTAGCTGAGAGTCATTCCCAGCACATGCTCTGATCATGCAGGATGTTGTTTCAAGGTTTGACCAAAATGACTACAACTCACAATTATTTGGTCTTGGTTTAAAACTCTGGAATGGAAGGCAGCGAGCAAAATGCATCCCTTCAAGGAATTCAAGGTTCCCAATGACTCTGTACGTCGAGCCTTTCTGTAAAATATGGAGTGTGATGTCATCGTACAGACCAGGAGTGTTTATGTAGCTCAAAAAGGAAAAAAGCAGAATAATATTTGAGATAAAAGTAACTTTTAATTAGTTTCGTACTTTGTATACACTCATCAAACAGTGGTACGTAATGGTCATTGTACACAGTGGTCATGGTACACAGTGGTCATAGTACACAGTGGTCATGGTACACAGTGGTCATGGTACACAGTGGTCATAGTACACAGTGGTCATGGTACACAGTGGTCATGGTACACA